CAGCGATGCCACTTTACCAGCAGCCATTGTGTCTGAAGCAGCCAGATTGGACTGGTAAAGAATGAATAATGAGGCTTGATTACAGTCCATGAGATGAGACGTTGCACAGGATCAATCCAGCAACAGCAATTACAGGCAGGACAAACAGCAGCCCTTAGCCTCAGTCTGGACACTGCAGTGAGTGATTGTGTCAGAGGACAGCATCATCTTCATTAATGACTTGTTGCTCTCTGAGGCAGGAGCCATTTGCTGCTGCAGCACATTCAGCCGCCCACATGAAAAACCCTCCAGCCAAAATGCATGTGAGGACAAAAGTGCATCTGTGCGGTTTTGTGTTTTGTTTACATCATCGTTGTCCAAAATTTCTTCAAAGAGGAACAGATCGGAGAGCCTCTCCCTGATCACAAACCCTGTCCAATATTATATTATATATAATATAAACAAGTAGCATGGTAATGCATTCAATTTTATCAGATTACTTAAAAGCAAAGAAAATGCAAAGAAAATATGTTGTTGGATGCACTCACAGTAAAATAACAGAATGGTCAAAAGTTGTCCATAAGCTAAAAACCTAAAATTAGCTATAGAAAAAAACACATTAATACAATAGGAAACACAGCCCAAAATACTGTTACATTTCTGTGAAGAAAATGAATTGAATGGAAGCCCAGAAATAACTAAATATTGCCAGTGTAACTAAACAATAACATTAGCAAAAATGCTAAAAAAAAACAAACAAACAAAAAAAAAACAATATGTAAAAATGTAGAGCAGGGCAGGCCAGTAAAGATGGGTAAAAGATAGATAGATAAATGACAACATAAGGAAATAAATAGGAAATTACACTGAAATTGTTTTACAAGTGAACACATACAGTAGGTGTGGTGGCTTTTTAAAAAAGTGAACGTCTTCTTTTAAGGTTCGGCTTTGGATTATTGGACGCTGGGCTGATGGTGCAGCAGGCTGCAAATTTCCTGCATTCACATGCATTCACAAAGTTGAATTTAACACCAACAAGTAAAAACCACTGGTACTGCTAGTACAAACTATAGAGTACAATTTTTTGTGCGTTTTTTTTTTTTTTGCTACGTCATAATCTAGTGCTGATTTGTCATTATTTTGTTTTTATTTGTGGTTAGGAAGATTTCTGCAAAAGGAAAAGTCAGTGTGAACATCCACTCAGAGGCTTGTGGAGGGACGACTAATGAGGTCAACACTCTGGAGCATGTACAGGTCAGAAAATACTCAATGAAGGAAACTCTATATATTTTCTCTAACCAACCACTTAAAACTTAAATTTCACTGTGCCACTTGGAATTGATTTTTGTAGAAGTAATTGTAACATTCATTTGCAACATTTAGTGGTATTTAATGATGAGCATTCTGAAAGTGTCAATTTTTAAAAAAGGCTGTTTTTGCTGCTCACTATTGTAACCTTGAGAATAAACTGAAGAAGAGGGTGCTCAGCTGTTTTCACAAGCTATGATGTGTTCATGGAAAATAAGACTCCCAACAAGTTGAAAAGGCATGTATTACTGGTGATCTCATATCTGCAACCATTCAACCTACTGTCCAACAGAGGGCAGTTGTTGGTGTTTGTGATCACTGTTGATTTTACAACATAGCAAGACTTGCAAAATTCATCCAACACTTTTTACTTCTTCTAGGCTTTCTACCGTCTTGCTTCAGAACTGAATATGACAGTATTTTATAATTTTAATTAAAATTTATATTACTGTAATGAAAAATATAAACTTGTAGCAGTTTGAAATGTAAATGATATGTTTGATGAAAAGACAAAACATCTGTCTTTTTTTTTTGCCTGATAGGAATTTGAAAAGCAGAATCTTATTTCACATCTGAAATTACAGACAGCAACTGTTTTGCTCTCTGTAGCATAAACCACAGAAACTGTGGAAACAGTGTGGCTCTATTCTGAGTCTAAAGTCACTGCTACTTCAAAGAAGACATATATTTTAAAGATGCATTTTGCTTTTTACCAGGATCTATCTGTTCTCACTGTCAGTTGCTAGACTACAAAACCAAAAAAAAAATACTGCAAGAAATTTTAAGGATATTCTTCGAAAGCTTTTCTCTCAGCAATGCTATCTTTGTGCTTTAGCTGTAAATCTTATCCACAGCTTTGGTGTCTCACCCGTCATCCTGGTTCTCCCTGAACTGAAACCTAACTTCTGCACAAACTGTGGACGTTCAGAGACTTCAGACTTCATAGACTAAAAATTGACAACAAAAAAAGCCCACAAGATCCCACAGTGATGTGGATTCCACCAGGCTGTGTCATTTGCAGAAAAATGGCAAAAATTTGTTTTCGTCAGTACAGACGCATGCATGCAAATGTGTTTACGTTTGACTGTGTCAGCAGGCGTGCATAGCCTACAGTATATGTTAATACACGTGCACGTCACACTGTGGTTATCTGCATTTGTGAGCGTGTGTACTTGTGAAATAACAGGAAGACAGAGAGAGAGAGTGGAAGAGAGAGAGGAAGAGAGAGAGCGGGAGAGAGAGAGAGAGAGAGAGAGAAAGGGATAGAGAGAGAGTGTGTCAGCATGTAAATTGAAAAGGCTTCATCTTTGCGGCTCTGCTCCTTGGCAGAAAGCGTGGGTCAGACCATCGCTGCGAGGTGTGATTGATGGATGTGTTGCCGTGGTAACACGCCATAAACAGGAGCAGCCTGTCAGTCTTTTTGCAGCTTGGCAGCTCGCTCTGCGATGTGCCATTGTCACACCAGATGTGCTGCCTGTGATGAACAGGGACAGGGAGAGTGTTTACTGGGGAGAACGGGGTGGGGCCAGTGAGACTGTGGGGTACATAGGCTTATTTAAATCATTTAGATAATATTCCACTCAGCTTTTCCTCCTGGAGAAGGTCTGATTTTTAACTAAACTGTTATTATTTTTTCTTCCTATTGTCCGTCTGTTTCAGATGAACAAAACTGAGGCCACAAGCATGAAATACAAAGAAAAAATCAACTGCCCTTTACAGTCAGATTTTGGTTCCTTTAAATTTACAACCTTTCTGTAAATTGTTCTGCTAGACTTCCGTAGCAATTGACAGTTTACGTCCATTGAGGAAGAGAATGTGTTTTCTATTTTATTTTAGATGCCAGGCCATGAAAATATTTTGAAAAGACAGGTTAGATTTAAGCGCGTCACTGCCAGATCTGTTTCAGGAACACGTGCAATCTTGGAGCTACTTTCTATTTTTGTAATTACAGTAATTACAGTATTGGGAATTAGCCAAATGATAGCTTAATATAACATAGACAAACTTTACCTATTTTTTCCAAAACAAAAGCTAAATATCAACATAAACAGTTAAAACAATGACGTAATTCTGTCAAGTAACAGTAACAGTTGGAAAAAAAATTGCAAGAAATAACCTGAAGGCAGCACAGAAATGGCCAAAAGATGACACATTTGATTACACTGCTCTAGAGGAGATCTAACCAACACATAGAGAATATACCAAGGTAATTTCCTGTCCCTGCTGCCACAACAATTTAATATGGAATTATATATGTTGAGATGACACAAGCTAGCTCTGCGTTGCTGCCTATCCTGAGGTCATTAGATACCAGTAACACACACGGTACAATCCCATAATTTCCCTGTCAGTATGGGAAAATAAACCGGCTGCCGGCTGATTGGCTAAGTTTAGACAGACAAAAATAAACTTTTTTTTTTCATCTTTGTTTGTTGTTGAAAATGCTAATAATTTGTCTTATCAACTACTTTTCTGGACGTCCTGCAGACATTGCTGGCGTAGATACAATAAGGGTTAAGTGTTTTGCCTAGGGGCCAATCAGCATGCAGCTGGAATCAAACTCCCAAATGTCTTGTTGATAGATGACTTTGGTATCCTCTGAGCATAAAAGAACATAATTTAAAAAAACCAAATTCAAATGTAGTTTTTATTCACCTTTGCTACTATATTACCACATAATTATGTTATCTTTCTTTTATTCCGTACTTTATATTTTGCCCAAAAGGAGATACTTAGTGCTGTTAAAACAAAGTAATTGTCTTTTATCTGATTAGGCCTAGATTTTCAACAGCTTTTTAGAGAGTCCAAGCTTTTTAAGGTCACATTTGTCTTATGATAAATTACAAGTCTTTTTTGTATTTCTGACATGGATGAGATGCTGGAGTGTGGATTCAATATCCCTCTGACTCCTTCATTTGCCTAATTCTACGCAGATTATTTTCACTTTTTGTTTTTCTAAATACCTGTTTAAAAATCTAGATATATGTGTAGTTTGTTTTTTGCAGCATAGTCAGGTTAATTTCAGTATGAAGTTTCATCTTCATGCTGCATTCTCCTTGTGTTTTGTTTAATTTTTGGATTATTATTCTAAGTGTCTTTACAAACTTCAGTACACCGTGTTTGCACATTACGTGTCAGCACCCATCATGTACACCTCCTTGTATTTAACACATGATGTATTTTTATATCAGTCAAAAGTGTAATTACTTTGTGTTCGTCTTGTCATTATTTAACCAGAGTAAAGTGAAATAAGGCCTTTAAATATTCAAATGAGCAAAGTTTTGCTTACACTTTTGCAAAAACTCACTTTAACAGAATAAAATACCTTCTTTTTTTGACCATGACAAGGTGCAAAAAACATGCGCTATCACTGGAAGATATCATATTTCTATGGTCTCAGCAGACTTACAGCCTGTTGTTTTCCCACTCTCATCTCCATGTTCACACCTCCTTCTCTTCACATCTCTGGCCACCTGTCTATCACCAGGTGAGAGTAAGCATCAGCTCTGTGTGCCGGGGTGACCTCTCCATCAGCTTGGAGTCTCCAGGAGGCACGGTTTCACTGCTGCTGGATACCAGACCCAATGATGCTTCCACCGATGGTCTGAGGAACTGGACCCTGATGACTGCTGGGGGGAGCAGCCCCGAGGACTGTGGACGCTGCATGTGAGAGACATAAAGTGCCTCCGTACTTTCGCACTTTTAAACTCTTAGCACACTTAGCTGCCTCTCAGCTGTATTCAAACATGGTACAGGCTAATTCTAGTGTGTTAACTTAAGTAAGTCTGAAACTTCTAATGTTATTCAACTTTACATACTAACATGATAAAAACAACAGTGTTCTACTTATATGTGGAATATTATGCAGGATATAAAACACAGTAAAAACAGATATTTAAAGTTTCTTCAACTCACTCTGGTGGCAGTAAAATCAAAATTGCAGAAACCTTTCTGATCTCAACTGTAATGTTTCTCAAACAGTGGCCCACAGTTTAAAAGTTGATTAGGTGATTGTACAATATACACACTTTGTGTGAGACCTCTTTGAGATAGCATTGAGTCCAGATAATTATTGGTGGAAGTTAATTGTTATTCCTTAGTAAGAAGCAACACCTCCCTCTGGTACAGTCACATACCTTCCTGGATACCCCTATTTCACATGGTTTACCACATATATGATATGGAAATAATTTGTTCCGCTTCACATTGTCCTCTTCCTGAAGCTGTGGCGTATAGAGGTGTAAAAATAACCCAGCACAGCACAGTTCAGCTCGGCTCAGTTCATTTTGCCACAGCAATGTGAATCATCCTCGACTTTCATCTCCGAGCTTCAGCCAAGCATGGCAATCTTCATTTTCCTGCCCGTACTCTTCCTTTCCTGTTTTTTTTTCTCATAAATGTGCTGATGTTTGATATGGAGGAAGGAGGTAAATGGAAGGGAAATTAAGACTGGAAGGTTAAGTAACCTTGGCCAGCTTTGACAGACACAATACTGCCGACGTCTGATTAGAATCCATACGCACAGACAGTAGCTGCACTGAGGTCATTTACTGTATACGTGTGGGTGGGTGGTAGCTGTGCGTGCATGTGTGCGTGTGTGTGTGTGTGTGTGTTTGTGCGCAAAGAGGTGTCAGTCTTCTAAACAGTTGGCGGTTTTATAGAGGAAAAACCTGCTTAGATGAAAGACACCCGCCCTCTGTCCTCTATCACCTAGCTTTTCCTGCAAACACACACACACACACACACACAGACACACAAACACTGTGTATCTGTTCCTCTCAGTGTCTCTTCCACGTCCTCGTGCGGATTTACTGTCCCCTCTGTGACCAATTACCAGGACCCAGTATGTCGCATGAGACGGGCGGAGAGAGCGTAAAGCTGAGCCGTGTAACGGCAGTGCTGCTCATTATCGTAGGGCCGAGACGAGTCACCCTGATGCTGGAGACAGGAATTAGAGCTCACATCTGACGTACTGCATGCCTTAGCACATTGTTAATCACCACATACATACACACACTGTAGGCTAACACTGGTTACCGTAAGTAACAGTAAATAGGTTTGAACATACCCAACAATAACGCCCCCTCTGGAAGAGTCTGTGTAGTTTCTATAAATCTGTCATTTGGTGTTTGGTGCACATAAATGCTCTTTCATCAGGCAGACTCTTATTGTGAAAGTCAATTTTGATAGCACGCTGGCTTCATGTGCTTTTAGCAGCAGTGTCTGCCATTGTACTTGTTTTTAATGTGTTACCAGTTAAAGTATACATTACAGAATAGAAAATAGGCCCTTTCTAAAGAGCAGGTTTAGTCAGCTAAATATTGTGATTTTGTCTCTTTTGTCAACATAGTTTTCATTTTTTTGTACACCACTTAATTGCATATCTACAGGACGGTGGCAAAATAGACTGTGAAAAGTATAAGTGAGTATAAAATCCAGGAACATGGGACAGGACCTGAACTGGACTATCTGTAGGATCAGAATTTAAAACCTCAAGGGCAGAGCAGAAGGGTGAGTGGGAAGAAGGTCTGTGGAGACTCTTTATTGATTTGTCATGATGACAATTGTCAAAAAAAAAGGACTTGGGTGTTGGAATAAAAGAGACGGAAGAGAAAAGAGAGTGAGTCTTATGGCCCCAGGCTTGGCTGACCTTCCAGCTCTGAAGGAGAAGAGACGAGAACAACTCTCTCTCTCTCTCTCTCTCTCTCTCTCTCTCTCTCTCTCCCTCTCTCTCCCTCTCCCCCTCTTTGCCTCTGTTACCATCTGCGATGCCTTATCTCAGCTCAGTGCTTTTACTGTTGATCAGAGACAATGTTGTAGGAAGTATTGCAGTATACAGTAAATCCACTAAGGAGTATGGTGCCCTGTGAACACAGTGCTAAGACATCATCTTTTGTCATTTAAAAAAATATTAATTATTTTCCAGACATGCCTCTGAAGTGGTAAAAAGGATTAAATTTGTTGTTTGAGATGCGTAAAACGTGATATTGTAACTTTACTTAAAAAAAAAAGCACTGCATCCAGTTTTGTGCTATGATATGAACTGTAACAGATTTTTGCTCTGTCCTGCGTTTCCTGCGCATTTAGGAAACAAAGGAAGATTAAGAAACTTGCTCTGTCCTGCGTTGGAATTTAGGAAACAAAGGAAGATTAAGAAACAACTCAAAGTAAGAAAATTCTCAAGTGTATAAACAATAATGCAGTAGTAGTTGTAGAAGGTTTGCTGGAAAACAAGTAAAAAAACCCTGAAGCTATAACAATACAAATCAGATAGTAAACAGCTTGAAATGCTGCAAAAACAATTTACACAGAGATACCGATAGATTATGCTGAACAGAAGTTCAAATGTTAGCTGGCACAAAGAAAGACATAGAGTAGAAAAAGTCATAGAAAATCATAAAGAACAAAGGAATGGTTACATAATGGATTTTACCTAAAAATATATAATTGTATGTATATATGGCTGAATGTAATTCTACAAACACTGTCGGAGACCAGACTGTTCCTCACTCTGTCCCGTACAACACAGATAAATTAAAATGTAAATAAACATACACACATCACTGTCCTCTCACCCACCTGGCTCCTGCAGTCATGCCCACAGGGAGATGGTGTGGATATGTGTTTGTGTGTGTGTTTATGGGTGTGTTTTTGTGTGTGTATCAGGGTGACAGCAGTCTTTGAGCAGAGACATCTCTAATCCCCAGAGGACACTAAGACTCAAGATGACTGTGACTAGTGGAGCTGTAGGAATATAATGGCACTATTTAGCCCGCAGCACTGTGGCTGTTACACACGCATATACACGCACGCACACACACACACATCCACTCACACATACGCTAACAGCAGTCCTGACTGACTGACAGATCACATATTTACCATCATCATCTCTGGCGCTTCATCTGGAGTTACTTTTACTTTTTCTGTTCCCAACAGATTACGCAAACCGAGCATGCACACACACACACACACACAAACACACAGTGTTTAACTAATAACAAAATAACCAGCGGATAATTGGAAAACAGTTGAGTTTTAAAAAGATTCACCCAGCGCTGGTTCTGATGTTTAAGACAAGACTTCTTTAGTCGGACAGAAAAAAACCTACAATTGTGGTAAAACAACCAACACATTATGCACAGTAGATGTAGATGGATAATCAAAGGTACAGATCTCAGTGCACAGTCACTCAGCAGGTACCTATACTACATTCTGTGACTGGCATCGTCCATAATTTATGTTGCTTAATTTTAAATGCTATAAAGCTATTGTAAAATAGAGTCACTTTTTTCCATTTCTATAAAGTAAACAAAAGAGTATATATTATTTTTTATGTAAAATATTTAAATTCTAAGATCAAAGTGTGAATTACCTCAATACCTGTGTTCTCATAATGGCAATTAAAAAAATTG